GGCTCTGGCGGCGGGAGCGCCGGGACGCGGAGCTCGGCGCGCTCCGGGCCGGCGGCGCGGACCTCGCGGCGGCGCCGGCGCCGCCGCGGGACCCGCTCGCCGCGGGTTTGCGTCCCGAGGCCGAGGCGCTCATGCGCGGCGTCTTCTGCGCGCTCGACGGCGGCGACGCCGGCGCCGTGCCGCGGGCGGCCCTGCGGGCCGCCCTGCGCGGCGACGAGCGGTTAGGCGACCTCATGCGCCACTGGGTCGGCGCCGAGGGCTGGGGCGACGTGCTGGACGCGCTCGACGCGCGGCTCGGCGGCGGCGGCGACGTGACCTGGGGCGAGGTGCTCCTGCTCTTCGTGCCCGACGCCGCCGACGCCGGCGCGCCGCCCGTCGCCGCGACGGCCGCGGCGCCGCCGCCGGAGCTCGAGCTCGCGCTCGTCCTGTCGGCGCCGGCGCCGGGCGGCGAGGCCGCGCCGCGCCTCGGCGCGCTCGGCGCGCCGCGGCTCCGGGCCGAGTGCCTGCGCCTCGTCCGGGACCGCGCGGCGCTGCTTCGGGCCTGCGCCGCGTCCGCGCGCGCGGCCGCGCGGAGTCGCGACGACGCCGCGCTCCTCTGGCGCCACGAGCTGAGGCTCGCGACTTTGGACCGCGACCGCGCGGTCCGCGACGCGCGCGCGGCCGAGGCGGCCCGGGGCGACGCCGAGGCGCGGCTCGCCGCGGCCGACGCGGCGCGCGCCGCGGCGGCCGCGGACACCGCGGCCGCGGCCGCGGCGGACGCGGCGCGCGCGGACGCCGACCGGCGCCGCGGCGCCGCGGCGCTCGACGACGCGCGCGCGGCCCGCGGCCGCGAGCTCGACGAGGCCCGCGCGGCGGGCCGCGCCGCCGCGGCCGACGCCGCGCGCCTCGCGGCCGAGCGCGACGCCGCGGTCGAGGCCGCGCGCGCGCTCGAGCGCGACGCGGGCCGCGCGGAGGACCGGCTCGCCGCGGCCGAGGCGCGCGGCCGCCGCGAGGCCGCGCGCGACGGCCGGGCCCGCGACGGCGAGCTCCGGCGCCTGCGGCGCGAGCGCGGCGCGCTCCTCGCGCTCCTCCGCGAGCACGAGCGGACGAAGCTCCGGTCCGCGGCGCGCCGCGGCGACGACGGCTCCGACGCGCCCGCGCGCCGCGCGCGGCTCCTCGACCTCCAGCACCTCGCCCTCGGCCTCCTCAGCGACGACGACGGCGGCGCGTCGGACCTCAGCGACGGCTCGTCGCTCTCCGGCGAGTCCGCGCCGGACTCGCCGCCGCCGCGCGCGGCCTCGTCCCGCGCGAGCTCGGCCCGCCGGGCCCCGAGGATACCGCCCCTCTCCTAAGGCCCCGCCGGGGGGGGGCACCTCCGCCCGTCCGCCGCCGCCGCCGCGCGAGCCGGGGGGCCCGAGCTCCGAGCCCGCTTGTCGCGAGCGTTGCCCGCCCCCCTTGAGCAGAGTGCATCGCCCGACCGTCGTGACGCGCAACCACGGGCGGGATTTCGGAGGAACTATGTGTGAACAGAGGGGTCGTGGGAGGTGTCGAGGTTCGCGAGTCGCATGTCGGGCGAGAGTTCGCCGACCCCCGGCCAAATACCACAACATCCATTTTACCCTACGCATGCTCTAATGGAACTGGTGGTCTCACGGTCATTGAAACAAAATACATCCCTTCGAATACGACTCTGGGCCTGAGACTGACGGGAATGCAAGGAGATGTTATGAAAGAATCGATGGCCGTCGCCAAAAGTGTTGCATGGAGCTTGATTGACCCTAGAAATCAAACTAAGATCTCACAAAAGATGAAAAATACGGATCTACATATTCACGTTCCAGAAGGAGCCACACCGAAAGACGGACCTTCGGCCGGAACTGCAATTACTGTTGCAATTTATTCAGTTACTAGTAGGCTCGGGCGATAGTAGGCTCTGGCGATATATAAGCAGTCGACTTCACTCGCGCGCCGCGGCGCGGGCTTTGCGCGCGCTCGCGCGCCGTTTTAGGGGTTGGATCGCGTTGCCCGCCCACCTCGGAGTCCATCGCCCGACGCGCACCTCGGGGGATGGCGCCGAAGGTGTTGAGCGCATCGAAGGCGCTCGAAGACGCCGTTGAGGTCGTGTGCGCAAAAGCCCCCTGACGCGCGCGCGCCCACGCGTACCCGCCAGAACGCGGCTTACATACCTGGAGCGGCGCGCGCGCGCCTCGGACCCCCCCCCGAAAGAGATGCGCGCGCGCGCTCGCGATATCGGCGACGACGTCGACTGTCTCGAGCGCTTCGCCGACATCGCGCCGCCGCAGGCAAAGTGAACCATGAACTGGCGCAAGGACTCGCGCAAGGCCTTCGGGTACGCCTTTCTCGTGGGCTGTGCCGCGTTCGCGCCGGTGGCTTCGGGGTCGACGATCGACAGCTACGGTGGTGCCGTGGTCTACGCGTCGGACGGCACCTACTGCTACAAGGTCACCATCGGCGACGGCGTGGCGTACGGCGGGGGCGAGATCATCCAGAACACGGGCGCCAGCAGCGGCTGCGAGTCCCTCGACTACACGGTGGGCGGCACGGACGTGTACGCCATCGGCTACTACGCGTCGACGTCCGGGGACGACCAGAACTACGACGACGGCGACTACTGCCCTCCGATCTCGGGCTCTCGCACCGCGCTCCTCTCGCTCGTGGTCGACGACTCTGCGACGGAGCAGACCCTCGTCTCCGACGAGCCGACGACGTGCTACTACACCTTCGAGCTCACCGCCAGCTCGACCTCGCTCGTCATTCCCTCCGACGCTCCGTCGGCCACGCCCTCCGACGCCCCGTCGGCCACGCCCTCCGACGCGCCGTCGGCAACGCCCTCCGACGCGCCGTCGGCCACGCCCTCCGACGCTCCGACGGGCACGCCCTCCGACGCTCCGTCGGCCACGCCCTCCGACGCTCCGTCGGCCACGCCCTCCGACGCCCCGTCGGCCACGCCCTCCGACGCTCCGTCGGCCACGCCCTCCGACGCGCCGTCGGCCACGCCCTCCGACGCTCCGTCGGCCACGCCCTCCGACGCGCCGACGGGCACGCCCTCCGACGCGCCGTCGGCCACGCCCTCCGACGCGCCGACGGGCACGCCCTCCGACGCGCCGACGGGCACGCCCTCCGACGCGCCGTCGGCCAAGCCGTCCGACGCGCCGTCGGCCAAGCCGTCCGACGCGCCCACGGCCAAGCCGTCCGACGCGCCGTCGGCCAAGCCGTCCGACGCGCCGACCTCCAAGCCCTCCGACGCGCCCACGGCCAAGCCCTCCGACGCGCCCACCGCCAAGCCCTCCGCGAGTCCCACTACCGCCCCGACGAATCTCTCGCTGGACGCGGGCGAATTCGGAGAAGGCGACGGTTCCTTCACGGAGGATGAGTGCGACCCCCACCGCGAGGACAGGGTGACCTGCGGCTGCCTCGCGGTCACGAAGAAGCGCAAGTGCAACCGCAGGGCCAAGTGCGCGTGGGTCGGCGGCTCGCACAAGTGCCTCGCGGACTGCGAGGTCCTCACCAAGGAATCGCGGTGCCGCAAGAAGCGGAATTGCGTCTACAAGAGCGGCGCGTGCCGGTTCAAGCACGCCTGCGCCTACAAGATCTCGCACGGCAAGTGCGAGAAGGCCTCGAAGTGCCGCGTGAAGAAATTCGCGGGCGCCGAGAAGTTCGACGCGCACGGCCAGAAGATGTGGCTCTGCGAGCACCGCGAGAAGGCGAACTAGGCGGCGCGCCCCTCGTACCTCGCCAAAAAGAGAAGCGCCGACAAGACGCGCTTTTCCCCGCGGCCCGCCGCGGCGCGAAAGCCACGCGCCGCCGCCGCCGCGCTGTCCGGAGCCCCCCAAGAAACACGCTCGTCATCACCACGCGAACGACCCCGACGTCCGCCACCCGGTGCCCCAGCCGCCGCCGCTCCTCCCCCCGGAGCCTGCCGCCGCTGCAACGCAGTAAAAGACCTTCGTCACGACACGGGTCGGGGAGAGGGGACAGGCCCGCTCGACCACGCACCGGTCGAAACGCGGCGACGCGGGGCGCCCCCCTTACGACTCGCCCCCCGGCCGGAAGTCGGGCAGGCAGGGCGCCCACTCGGGCCGGACGCCGAGCGCGCGCGCGCCCGGGAGCACGCCCGCGCGGTCGAGCCGCGCGGCCCGCGTCGCCGCGGCCTTGCGCGGCGTCGCGTCGCGCGCCGGCGCGGCGTCGCCGGCGCCGGCGGCCGGCGCGCCCTCGTCGAGGTCGCCGCGGTCGAGGAGCGCGTCGACGATGAGGCGCGCGGCGTCGCGGTCGAGCGCGACGTTGTGCCCCGTGCAGCGGCCTGGGAAGCAAAAGGGTGATTCGACGCCGCTTCAACGTGAGCGTTCCGCTCGCGCGCGTTCCAGGAAAAAAACATCCACGCTTCGAGAGCGCTCCGAGAGATCATCGCTCGTCCAAGCATGAGCCGAAACGAGTGGAAAACGGCCGAGATCGGAGCCTTTGAAGTTGGGAATTTCGCTCTCTTTTGCTGCCCCGCGCGGCGGCCGTCGTGGAGGCACGCGGGGCAGCCCGTCGCGAGGCCGCAGGGGCACGCGAGCAGGGTCCGCGCCTCGCGCAGGAGCGCGCCCATGCGGTGGTAGAGCTCCTCCGCGACGCCGAGGCCGCCCGGCCGCGCGTCGTAGACGATCGCGCGGAACGGCCGCGGCCGCGTCTGGAACGGGTAGACGTGCTCCGTGGCGACGTCGCCGGGGTCGCAGAGCACGAAGAGGGGCGCGAGCGCGAGGAGCGCGTGGTTGAGCGCGTGGAGCCCCGCGCGCGCGTCGAGGCGCCGCGCGGCGATCGCGTCGAGCGCGCGCCTGCGCGGACGTCAACCGGTGAGCCGGAACGTCCCGACCAGACTTTGAAATGCTCTCGCTCGGTCACATCGACGTCGATTCGGCTGATTCCTGGACGGATCGATGGCGCGCATCGACTTCTCGAAGCACGGCGGAAGTGCGTGTGCCACATCGTTCGACGACGCTCGCATTGAAGTCGGGTTGAAGATGCGAGTCGCGCGCGGGCGCGCGCTTCGGCACGTCGATCCACGTCGCGCGCGTCGTGAACTCGAGATTCGGCAGCGAGAACTCGTGCATGCTCAGGATCCGGAGCGTCTTCTTGCAGACCTTGCGGTAGCCCCAGACCTTGGAGCTCACGTGGACGACGCCCGTGCGGACCTCGCGGTTCGATCGCAGCACCTTCTCCGGGTCGACGTCCGTGTGGTTCCGCGACGACCTGCGCGGGCGACGCGCGATGTTGCTTCAACGTCAGTGTGCCGCGCGCGCGCGGTCCGGAAAAAGCCATCCACGCGTCGACACCGTTCCGAGGGACGATCGCTCGTCCAAGCATCGGCCGAAACGAGCGGGAAACCGCCGGGAGCGGGAGCCTTTGACGGTGGGAAATTCGCGCCCTTTTCCTGCCCCGGCGACGACGTGATGTAGTCGCAGGCGCCTAAACGCTTCACCGTCGCCTCGTGGGTCATGACGTCGAGGCGCGTGACGAGGTAGGGCGCGGCCTGGATCAGGTAGACGGCGCCCTCGTAGAGCTCGTAGAACGCGCGCGAGTAGGGCACCTCGTCGACGACGGCGCCGCCGCACTTTACGGAAAAGGTCACGGGGTCGACGACGCGCAGCGACACGGCCCGCGCGTGGTCCGCCGCGTGGGGCGCCGCCGCCCAGCCGCCGCCGGGGGCCTCGCGCAGCGAGCGGTCGGCCTTGCGCATCGTCAGCGCGCGGTCGTACGCGCCGCAGTCGCCGCCGCCGCAGCCGCAGGCCAGGGCGAAGAAGGGCCGGTCGCGCGCCTCGAGGGGCGCCTCGGCGGCGGCGCAGACAAGCTGATCCGCGAGCACGCTCTCGTTGGCGACCTGGAGCGCCGCGGGCTCCATTGGCCGCTTGAGCAGGTCGCCGCCGCACCGCGCAAAGTGCTGGTCGATGGGGCTGTCCCAGCAGACGACGATGGCCGCGCTCGTCGAATTTGCGTCGCGCCCCGCGCGGCCCGCCTGCTGCCACAGCGACGCGATGGACCCCGGGTGGCCCAGGTGCACCGTCGCGTCCAGGTCGCCGACGTCGACGCCGAGCTCCAGCGCGTTCGTCGCGACGACGCCCGCCAACCCCCCGCCGAAGAGGCCCCGCTCAATGCGGCGCCGGTCCTCCTTGCGGTAGCCGCCGCGGTACGCCGCGACGCGGGCCGCGAGCTCCGGCGCGCGGCCCGCCTCGAGCCGCTCCTTCGCGTAGCCGAGCACGAGCTCGACGAGCTTCCGCGTGCGCCCGAAGGCGAGCGTCCGCGTCCCGCCTTCGACGAGGGCGGCGAAGAGCTTGGCGCACTCGACGATGGACGACCGCCGCTTCGGGAACGCGGCGCTGGCGCCCGCGCCGCCGAGCGCGGCGGCGAGCGCGCGCCGCTCCGCGCCCGCCGCGCGCCGCCGCAGCTTCTCCTCGCCCGTCAGCGCCTTGGCGCCGTCGCTGTCGTAGGCCTCCGTCTCGTCGCCGCCGGAGTCGTAGGCCGCGGTCTCGTCGTCCGCGGCCGCGGCGCCGCCGTCCGCGGCCGCCGCGGCGCACGCGCCACGCGTCCCGCGACGTCCGCGGCCGCTTCGCCGCCGCCGCGTCCGCGCGGGGCTTGTGGGGCGGGTTCCAGACGATGACCTGCTTCGCGCCGCGCGGCGACCCGTCGCCGTCGACGACGACGATGTCGCGGCCGCCGCCGGGCGGCAGCAGCCGCGCGGCGTGCTCGCGCGGGTTCGCGATCGTCGCCGAGCAGCAGAAGAAGCGCGCGGCGCCGCCGAGTGCGCGGCTCAGGCGCCGGAGCACGGCGGCGACGTGCGTGCCGAAGGCGCCGACGTAGACGTGGGCCTCGTCGACGACGACGGACGTCACGTCCTCGAGGAGTCTGCGCCACTCGCCGCCGGCGCCCGGGAGCAGCGTCGCGTGGATCATGTCCGGGTTCGTGACGACGACGGCCGGCGGCGCCGCCGCGATGGTCGCGCGGTCGTCGCGGGGCGTGTCGCCGTCGAGCGTCGCGCAGGCCAGGCCCAGGGGCTCCAGCAATTCCCGGAGCGACGCCACCTGGTCCTGCGCGAGCGCCTTGGTCGGGAACAGAAAAAGCGACCGCTCCCGCCGCTCGAGCGCCGCCGCGACGGCGGGCAGCGTGAAGGCGAGGCTCTTGCCCGACGCCGTGCCCGTCGCGAGCATGACGTGGTGGCCGCCGAGGGCCGCGTCGACGGCGAGGGCCTGGTGCGACCAGAGCCGGCGGCCCGCCGTCGCGGCCGCGAGCGCCGCGGGCAGCTTGGACTGCAGCGCCCCAAAGGTCGCGGCCCGCGCGGGCACGGTCTCGACGTGGGCGATCTGGCCCTCGTACCAGTCCTGGCCCACGAGCGCGCGCACGAGCGGCGACCGCTCGTCCTCCGCGATCGCGTCGAGGAACGCGGTGGGGTCCCGGGCGGCGGCCTCGGCGCGCTTCCGCGACGCCGCCGCGGCGCGCGCCGCCGCGGCGCGGTCCTCGAAGGCCCGGGCCGACGGCGCGGCGCGCTCGGGGTCCCAGGCGCCGCCGGCCGCCTGCCGCTGCCGCTCGACCTCGGCGGCGAGCGCGTGTTCGACGCGGCGCCGCCGCTCGGCCTCGTGCGACGTGCCGCGCGGCGGCGGCGGCGCGAGCTTCGGGAAGACGACGACGCCGCCCCCGCCGCCGTCGTCGTCGACGACGTCCACGGCGCCGGGGCAGCACGCCGCGAGCCGCGGCAGCGCGGCGCGGAGCCGCGCCTCGAGCCCGGCGCCGCGCGCGGCGCGCGCCGTCGCGCAGACGTTATCCACGGTCAGCGACACGTGCCGCATGCGCTCGAGGGACTTCGCGACCGCGCGCAGGTCGTCGTAGGAGAAGAGCAGCGCCGCGAAGGCCCGCGGCAGCGGCGCGGCCGGCGGCGCCGGCGCGGCGGACTCCTGCGTCGCCGCCGCCTTGCACGCGCGCGGCGCGGCGGACTCCTGCGTCGCCGCCGCCTTGCGCGCGCGCGGCGCGGCGGACTCCTGCGTCGCCGCCGCCTTGCGCGCGCGCGGCGCGGCGGACTCCTGCGTCGCCGCCGCCTGGCGCGCGCGCGGCTTCTTCGGCGCGGCGGCCTCGGCCGCCGGCGGCTCGAAGAAGCGCGTGAAATTCATGCAGCAAGCCGCAGCGGCAGAGCTTCTCCGCAGCCCATGACCGGGCCGACGGGTTCAAGGATTTGTTCACGTGAAGTGCATCATGCGGCAGCCCATGACGCAGCCCGCGTGGCCTCCGTTTGCAAATCGCAGTTGGGCTGCTTCCAAAATCATGACGCCGCAGAAGAGCCGCGACGAGGCGCCGCCGCTCCGCACGCCGCGCCGGTCCACGCCGCTGCTGCCACAGGGGTGCCTGCTCGTCAACATCGAGGGGAACATCGGCATTGGCAAGCGACGCGGCGTCTTTCGAGAGATCGTGGCTGGGACGATCCGTCACCGATGCGCGTGGTAGGCAAGAGCACGCTCCTGGCGAAGCTCCGCGACGCCTACGCCGGCGTCGAGGGCGTCGTCTTCGTCGACGAGCCCGTGGCGGCCTGGGAGCAAGCCGGCCTCCTCTCCGCCATGTACGACGGGCGGTTGCACGCGGCCGTGTTCCAGATGATGGCGCTGAGCACGCGCTACGCCGCGCTCCGGCGCGCGCTGACGTCCGGCGCGCGCCTCGTCGTCTCGGAGCGGTCGCTCTGGAGCGACCGCTGCGTCTTCGCGGCGACGCATTTAAAGGGCTGCGATAAAGACGCCTACGACCTCGCGCACGACTCCATGCTCGCGTCGCTCCCCGCGACGGCGCGCGCGACGATCCTCCTCGACGCGCCCGTGGCGACGCTCCTCGCGCGCGTCGCCGCGCGGGGCCGCGACGGCGAGGGCGCGGCCGACGACGCCGAGGGCGGCGCGGGCGGCGGCGGCTGCTCCGCGGCGTACCTCGCCGAGCTCGACGCGGCCCACGCGCGCTACTACGCGGGGCTCGACCACCACGCGGCCCGCGTCGACGCGGCCGACGGCCCGGCGGCCGTCGCGCGGCGCGTCGTCGCGGCCATCGACGCCGCCGTCGCCGCCGCCGCCGCCGGGCCCCCGAAGCCGCCCGCGGTCGACTCGCCGACGTGCGTCGCCGCCGCCGCGCTCTAGGGGGCGCGCCCCGTCTTTTTCGAGCGCCGAGGGTCGCCTAAACGGACCGACGGCGGGGATGGCGCAGTACTAGTGTACGTAGCCGCGTCCGCCGCGCGTTCGCATACGTAATGGTTAAAGGAGGGATGCGGCGCTAGGCGCGCGCGCGGGGAGTGGAGAAGCGGGGGGTGCGTCCCCCGTCCCGCTGTCGTCGTCGGGCCGCGGCGCTCGAGCCGCGGGCCGCCGCCGTCCGCGGAATCCGAAGGCGCCGAGGGTCCGGGATCATGTCAGGAGCACGCCGCCCCCGGTCGGGGGCGAGGCGTGCGGTCCGTCATGCGATCTCCGGGTCGGCGCTCGCTTCACAGAGGTTCAATGTGATCGGACGCGGAGCGGCGGCGGCCCTTGCGCGGGTCGCGGGCGCGCTTGGTCTTGGGCGGCGCGCGACGACGGCGGGGCGGGGGGCGCGGCGGCGTGAGCCGCTTTAGACGGGGACGACGGGCGTGACGTCGCCGCCCGTGTTGTCGACGTCCGACGAGTCCGTCGACGACGGGTAGACGTAGTCGGAGCACGTCGACGGGAGGCTCGCGCCGGAGTCGTCGATGGCCTGGCAGGTGAGGGAGAGGACCTGTGTCGCCCAGGAGGCGAGGCCGATGTCCGTCTCGTTGGTGGAGAAGGAGTACTCGTTGCCGTTGATGGTCACCCAGAGCGGCGAGCCGTCGTTGATCGCGTAGGCGACGTTGTTGCTCTCCTCGTACAACGTGAGCGCCTCCGCGGACTTGGTGCAGGCGGAGAGGGTCGTGAGGTTCGTCGACGTGTGCTTCGCCGAGCAGTAGTCGACGACGCCCTCGAGCGTGCAGACGCAGGAGTCGAGGCCCGTCGTGTCGCTGCCCGGGATCGCGACGTCGTCGTCGGCGCCCGACTCGGCCTCGGAGCACGACATGGCGTCGGACGTCTCCGTGTAGGACATGCAGGCCTGGAGGCCGTACATGCAGTGGACCATGGGCCACCACTCGCCCTGCTCGAGGGAGTCCTCCGCGCAGAGCTCGTACTTGTTCACGGACTCGAAGATGATGCCGTGCTCCTCGATGGACGCCGCGGAGCCGAGGTAGTCGACCTTGAGGTCGATGGCGTCGAGAACGTCGCTGTGGCTCAACATGAACGTGTGGAGCGAGAGCGCGTGCCTCCGGCAGTCGGGTCACATGGCGTCGACGTACGCGTGGACGACGACGGAGCTGTCGCCGTCGAGCGCCATGAGCGCCGGGGCACCCGCCGCGGGGCGCGCCACGCGGTAGGTGACGGCCGCCGACGACAGGGCCGTCGCCACGAGGGCGGCGGCGAAGCCCGCGCGCGACGAGCGCTGCGGGGCGGCGCGCACGGGCGCCAGGGACTCCTCGTCCGTGAGCTGGTAGGCCTCCTCCGTGTACTTCATCGTGTCCGGTGCGTCGACCTGCGAGCGCGGCGCCGGTCGGGGGACGGGACGGGCGCGGGGGGGACCGGGCGGGGCGGCGGGCGGCGGCGCGACGACGCACCTCGATCGATGCAGCCCGTAGAAACTGAGTGGGTAGGTGAAAATCTGCTTTGACAGGATATAGGATCTTCATCGTTGCCGTGCCGTTGACATGATGGGGCCGCCCGCACGATGAAAGCCCGCCTGCTGGTCGCGGCGTGGCTGGGCGCCGCGCTGCCGACGACGGAGATCGCCCTCGACGACCTGCCGGCGTCGCTCTTCGACGGCGACGTCGACGCCAACGCCGCGGCGTTCTGCGCGCGGCACGACTTTGGCCCGACGCCCCAGGGCCTCGCCTGCGCCGACGCCATCGCCGCCGACGTCGTCCTCCGCGGCAACGGGACCCTCGCCGCGGCCGAGGCCACGGCCCGCGCGCGCGTGCTCTACGACCAGCGGCGCTTCGGCGACGCGGCGCGCGTGCTCGCGCGCGTCGCCGGCGGCGACGGCGCGTCGCGCGCGCTCCTCGGCGCCGCGCGGCTCGCGGCGGGCGACTACGGCGGCGCCGTCGACGCCTACGACGCCGCGAAGCGCGCCGGGGCGTCCTCCGACGGCCTCGACGCGGCCCTCGCGCAGGCCGCGTTCCGCGCGGGGTACCACGGCCGCGCGGAGGACCTCCTGACCGGGTTTTGGACCTGCCCGGCGCGTTGACGCTCCGGTCCGCCGTGCGCGCGGCGCGCGGCGACCTCGACGGCGCCGTCGACGACGCCGCGCGCGCCGCGGCGGCGGCGCCGGGCGACCCCGCGCCGCGGCGCCATTTGGGCATGGCGCTCCTCGACCGGAACCGACCCGGCGACGCCGCGCGCGCGGCGGACGCGCTCGCCGCGGCGCTCGCCGCCGACGACGACGACCTCGGCGCGCGCCACGCCCTCGCGCGCGCGGCGCGCGCGGCCGCGGCGCCGCCGGACGTCGTCCTCGCGACCTTCGCCACCGACGAGACGCACTGCGGCCTCCGGCGCCTCCGCGAGAGCGCCGCGGGCTACGGCCTCGGCCTCACAGTCCTCGCGCCGCCGCCGGGCGCGACCTGGAGCAACGGCCTCAAGCTCGCGCTCCTCCGCGACTTCGCGGCGGGCCTGCCGCGGGCCGCGGTCCTCATGGCCGTCGACGGCTACGACGTCGCCGTCGGCGGCGGCGCGGCGGCCGTCGTCGCGCGGCTCGCGCGCTTCGAGGCGCGCGACGCCGACGTCGTCGTCTTCTCCGCGGAGCAGCCCTTCTACTTCCGGGGCGGTGACGAGCAGTGCGTCGGCCGCGCGTACCCGGAGTCCGGCGCGCCCTACCGGTTCCTCAACAGCGGGTCCTTCGCGGGCCGCGCGGGGCACGTCGCGGCGCTCCTCGCCCGCGTCCTTGCGACGCGCGCGGCCGACTGGGACGGCGCGTCGGACCAGACGCTGCTCCACCGCGAGTACCTCGCGCAGGAGGCGCCCGTCGGCGCGCCGCCGCCGTGCGGCGGCGCGCCGGCGAGCCGCGGGGCGCCGCGCATCGTCCTCGACGCGCACCAGGAGCTCTTCGGCAACACGGGCGGCCGCGGCGACGCCCGCGACTTCGGCGTCCGCGACGGCGCGCTCCACAACGCGCTCACGGACACGTACCCCGTCGTCCTCCACTGCCCCGGCGACCGCCGCTTCCGCGCGGAGTTCGCGCGGCTCCAGCGCCTCGGCTGGGCCGCGCGGTTCCCGGACTGCGGCGACGGCGTAAGTGGCTCATAGGGCGACCTCCGCCGGCGACCTAGAGCGGATGTGAACAGGCAGCCCCATGGCCATCCTTGCAGTGCCGTGGTTGATACGTCGTGCGGCTGGCAGGCCTTGAAATCACAACGCCACTGACAAACTTTCTGAAGACTCCGCGACGCGGAGTCTTGCCGCACGACGTATCAATCACGGCAAGGCCTACGGCTTACCTACGGCATGCTCCCACTGCTCTCGAGATCTCTGAGATTCTCTCGCACCAAGAATTGTTGAAAGTGCAACCAAACAAAGCTGCCCCTAGATGCTGCCCCTGAGCTTGTGCGCAATGGGCCAGCGCCTCGCCATCCTCGCGGCCGTCGTCCACACGACGCACAGCCGCAATCTCGCGCCCGGCGAGGGCCACAACGTCTTCGTCGAGGGCGAGGTCGCCGTCACGCGCGGCCGCTACGGCGTCTCCGTCACGGACCTCGGCGACCGCGTCGTCGGCACGCACCTGCGCGAGATCGGCGAGTGGGAGCAGCCCATCGTCGACATCGCCGCGGAACTGCTGCGGCCCGGCGACACGGTCTGGGAGTGCGGCGGCCACGTCGGCGCGCACACGCTGGGCCTCGCGGCCGCCGTCGGCGCCTCGGGCCTCGTCCACGTCTGGGAGCCGCAGCGGGCGCCGCGGCTGCTCCTCGCCGCGTCCGTGGCGCTCAACGGCCTGCGCCACGTCGACGTCCACGGCGAGGCCCTGGGCGCGGCGGACGGCGGGCGCGTCGCCCTCGGCGCGTGCGACGGCGGCTTCTGCCGGGAGAACTCGGGCGCGCGCGCGCTCGCGCCCGGGCGCGGCGTCGATTTCGCCGGCGACGCGGCCGCGGCCGCGCCCGAGACGGCGGCGCTCGCGTCCCTGGACGGGCTGCGGCGGGCCGGCGCCATCTCCGGCGGCTGCCCCGCGCTCATCAAGTCGGACGTCGAAGGCATGGACCTCGAGATGCTCGCGGGCGCGCGCGGCGCCATCGACGCGTGCCGGCCCGCGCTGCTCTTCGAGCTCGTCCAGCCGCGCCTCGCCTACGGGCCGGGCGTACAGCGCGGCCTGCTCGCGCGGCACCCGGCCTACGCCTGCGCGTGGGCCGTCTTCCGCATCGTGCCCGGTGTGGACGACGCGTTCCGCGTGCCGAACGTCGAGCCGAGCGGCCTCGGCGTCGCGGAGTCGGGCCCCATGTCCTACAACCTGCTCTGCGCCGCGGGGACGCCGCCGGAGGCCCTGGCGCCGCGGGCCGCGGCCCTGGGCCTCGTCCGCGGCGTCCGCGACGCGGCGACGGACGCGCTCTACGGCGGGCCGGACTGCCGCGCCTACGAGGCGGACCTCCGCGCCGCGGGCGTCTACGCGGACATCGTCGGCGTCGACGGGGGGACGATCTGCTCGGATAAGTGGTCCTAGGGGAGCCGGGCGGACGGAACGGGGAGACGAGTCGGGCGGCGGTCGCGCTCTTCGCGCGGGCGGACGGGTCGGGCGGTTCTGCGGGCGGTCGCGTGGCTCGCGCGGGGCCTGTCGCGCGCCTTCCTAGGCGGCGGCGGCGGCCGCGGCCGGCGGCTCGGCGTACTCGAGGACGAGGTCCGCCGGGTCCGCGGAGCCGCCGGGGTTCGTGATCTTCACGGGGAGGCGCCGCGTCGCGGAGACGAGCGCGGCCTCGGCGACGAGCGTCGCGAGGATGGCGTCGTCGCGCGACACCTTGGGCTCCTCGAGGCCCCGGCAGACGCGGACGAAGGCGGCGAGCTCGTCGCCTGTGCCGAATTCAACCACTGGTTTGGGTGGTCCTGACCAAACTTGAGAATTCTCTAGCTCGGTCAAATCGAAGTCGATTCGGCTGATTTTTGGACGAATCGATTGCTCTCGTCGAGTTCTCGAAGCATAGCCGAAGAACTTGTGTCGAACCATTCGAATACGCGCACATTGAAGTCGGGTTGAAGATTTGAATTCGGCACAGCTCGTCGCGGAACGCGTCGGCGAAACGCTCCGGGAACGAGTGCGCGAGGCGGTCCGCCGCGACGCCGGCGCCGTCGGAGACGCTGAGGGCCGTCCGGTGCGGGTTCTCGACGGCGACGCGCGCGCCCGAGTCGCCCCAGACCTCGCAGCGCTGGTCGTAGCCGTAGGCCGAGGCCCGCGAGATGTCGAACGTCGCGGCCGCGCCGCCCGAGTAGGCCCACGTCGCCATGATCGTCGCGGAGTCGTGGACGTCGGCCGCGGCGAGCGCGGCGTCGGACGACGCGCCGACCGCATAAACCTCCGTCGGGCAGTGCGCGAGCGCCGCCGGCGCGTCGGCGGCCCGCGGCGCGAGCGCCTGCGAGCACTTGATCAAGCTCAGCACGAAGTCGACGTCGTGCGTCGCGAGGTCGTGGTAGGGGTCGCCGCCGCCGCCGAGGAGGAAGGCGGCCTCGGGCGTCGGGTGGTCCCGGAACGTGCAGCGCACGGACCGCAGCGCGCCCGCCGCGCCGGCCTCGACCGCCTTCCGCAGACCCTCGTAGGACGCGTCGCAGCGGCGCTGGAACGCGCACTGCAAGTGAACGCCCGCGGCGGCGCAGGCGTCGTAGGCCGCGGCGATGTCGTCGACGCCCATGGCCACGGGCTTCTCCACGGCGACGTGGAGCCCCAGCGCCGCGGCGTCGGCGATGATCCGGGGATGCGCGGGCGTCGGCGCGCAGACCCAGACCGCGTCGAGCGGCGCGCCCGCCGCGCGCGCGGCGGCCGCGGCGCCGCCCAGGTCACCGAAGGGCGCCGTGCCGTGGCGCGCCGCGAAGGCGCGCGCGGCGTCGGGCGCGACGTCGACGAAGGCCGCGAGCGTCGCCTCCGTCGACGCCGCGATGTTCGTCGCGCGGATCTCGCCCATGCGCCCGCCGCCGACGATGGCCACGTTGACGGGCGCCGGCGCGCGCGTCGTCGCGAAGCGCCGGAACAGGAAAGACGTCATAACAGAGCAGGAAGGCCGAGCGACGAAATAGGTCAAGGGGATGATTGAAGATCCCTTGAATAGGTCGACGGTCGGCTCTTGAAGGCCTTCTTGAGTTCACCTTGCACACCGAGCCTGCCCCCGGGGGCAGCACCGGTGCCCGGCGCAGAGCGTCGGGCAGTCGCAGAACATCTTCATCTTGCCCTTGTAGACGACGTCGTGGCCCGCGTGGCACGTCGCCGCGCAGTGCTCGCAGAAGACGTCGCCCTGCCCCGGGGAGCACGTCCCGCAAGAGAACGCGACCCGTCTCTCGAAGACCTCGCCGTCGGCGCGCTGCGCCGGGCAGCGGCCGGCCGCGTGGGGCCGCTTTCGAGCGCGCGCCTTGCCGTTCGCGCGGATCGTCGCGTCCGGCGAGAGCCGCTCCGCGGCGCGGCGGACGCCGCCCGCCGTGACGCCGTCGTTCCACGTGACGTCGAGCAATTTGAGCTGCTCCGGCCGCGGCAGCTCGGCGACGAGGCCGCAGAGCGCGTCGGACGTGAGCGTCGGCGCGAGGCACGCGAGGCGCAGCGACCGGAGGTCCGGGCAGCGCGCCGCGACGGCCTCGAGGTGTTCTCGCGCCGCGCCCGAGCACGCCGAGAGGTCGAGGGCGAGGAGCCCGCGCCGCGGGCCGCCTCGGAAGAACGCGACCGCGACCGCGTCGACGCTGCAGCCCTGGAGCTCGAGGCGCGCGAGCCGCGGCGCGGCGACCGCGGCGACGGGCGCGGCGTCGCGGGGCCCGCGCCGCGTGGCGGCGAAGAAGCACTGCGCGGCTAGGGACGCGACCTCGAGGCGCGGCCGCGCCGCGAGGCCCGCGAAGAGGTCGGACCGCCGCGCGGCGCCGGGGGAGCCGCGCTTCGCGTGGATCTCCGCGAGCGCCGGGAAGAGCGCCGCGTCGCGGAGCAGCGCGGCCACGTCGACGCCGTCGCAGCCGTCGAGGCGGAGGCTCCGGAGGGCGCCGGCCGCGCGGCCGAGCGCCGCGAGCCCCCGGATCGTCAGCTTCTTCATGCCCGAGACGTCGAGGAACGCGAGCGACGGCGCGCAGGGCGCGGCGGCCGCGCGAAGGAGGAAGTCGTCCGTCGTCGTCACGGAGCAGCCGGCCACCGACAGGCCCTCGAGTGTCGGCGGCGCCGCGGCGAGCGCGTCGCGGAGCTCCGCGTCCGCGAGCTGGCCGCAGCGCTCGAGGCTCAGCGTCCGCAGCCGCGGCAGCGCGCCGACGAGCGCGCCCGGGGACCGCAGCCGCGGGCACGCGCGCACCGCGAGCCGCTCGCAGCGCGCGGCGACGTCCGGCGACGCGCAAAAGGCCGCGAGCGCCGCGTCGGACGCGCCGAGGAGCCGGTCGAGGACGCACTCGACGCCGCCGCCGCCGCTCAGGAGGCGCGCGAGCGCCCGCAGGCCGCGGCCGTCGAGCGTCCGCCGCGACGCCTCGCCGAGGTCGCAGAGGTAGGGCGCCACCGTGACGGCGCCGAAGCGCCGCGACACCGCGCGCCGCGCCGCGCCCCGGCACGACCGCGACACGACGGCGAGCGTCACCGCGTCGAAGGCGTCGAGCACCGCATGCTCCGCGACCGTCTCGATGACGAGCAGGCTGGAAGCCATCGACTCCGAGGAGCGCGGTAACTCGAATGCAAGTAAAACTTCAACGAAGCCCTCCCGCACGGCCTCAACGGGCCCTAAAAAAAACTCTCCCGCGGCGCGTCGGGCGCGAAGAAGGCGTCGGCGGCGGCGTCGCTGAGGGCGAGGACGACGGCGACGTCGAAGAGGAGGAGCGCGGCCGCGTGCGCGGCGGAGACGTGGAGCGCGAAGCGCCGGGCCTGGGCGACGAGCGCCTGCGTGGAAATCGAATCTTCAACCCGACTTCAATGTGCGCGTATGCGACCGTTTCGACGCGAGGTTTTCTGCCGTGCTTCGAGAACCCGATGGGAGCAATCCATTCGTCCAAAAATCAGCCGAATCGACGTCGATTTGACGGAGCTAGAGGTTCTGAAGTTTGGTCAGGACCACCCAAACCAGTGGTTGAATTCGGCACAGACGAGCGCGGCGACGACGAGGATCATGGCCTTGGAGACCCAGTGGAGCGCCGCGGCCATGGCGTCCCGGTCCGGGTCCCCGGGCACGGTGACGTCGCCGCGCGCGGTGACGCGCTGCATGCGGCACGCCGCGAGGAGCACGAGGCCCGCGAGCGCGACGACCTGTGTGGAAATCAAATCTTCAACCCGACTTCAATGTGCGCGTAATCGAACGGTTTGGACCAGGCTCTTCGACTGCGCTTCAAGAAGTCGACGAGAGCAATCGATTCGTCCAAAAATCAGCCGAATCGACTTCGAATTGACCGAGATAGAGAGTTCTGAAGTTTGGTGGGGGCCCCCAAACCAGTGGTTGATTTCCACACAGGCGACGACGCACGCGTGCTCGCACCGCGCCTCCGCGCGCCGCCCGGACGTGCCCGCGTCGAGCGTGGCCGCGGCGATGGCCCGGAGCTTGGCGCCGAGGTGGCGCGCGCGGTCGTTCGCCGACGCGCGCGCGCGGCCGAAGAGCGTGCGCGACGCGTCGAGGCGCCTGGGCGGGAACGGGGTGATGCAACGTCGCTTCGATGTGAGCGTTCCGCGCGCGCGCGTTCCGGCAAAAGCATCCACGCGTCGAGATCGCTCCGAGTGATGATCGCTCGTCCAAAAATCAGCTGAAACGAGTGGGAGACGGCCGAGATCGGAGCCTTTTCCCGCCCCGCGAGCCGCATCAGGTTGTCGAGCTCGAGGACGAAGACGAGCGTCAGGCAGTCGACGATGATGTCCACGGGCCCGTCGGCCGTGCCCAGGAGCGCCGCGGAGACGCGCAGGTAGAGGAAGACGAGGCCCAGCCTGGCGACGTGGACGCCGTAGGCCAGCGACCGCGCCGCGAACCACGCGACGCGCCCGCGCCAGCCCGCGCGGTACGTCAGCTCGCGCGCCGCGGGCACGACGAGCAGCGCGCCGACGACGAGCTCGTGGAGCTCGGACCGGAGCGACAGCGCGAGCACGAGGGAGCCGAAGCAGAGCGGGAAGAGCACGAGCGACGGCACGCCGCCGACGCCGTGCCGGCTCCGGAGCCGCCAGTCCACCCGGTCGTCGTCGTCCTCGAGCTCGTCGGCCCGCTCGCGCCACGCGGCGTACTTGGCGTCGAGCGCCATGGCGAGCACGAAGGCCTGGAGGCCGAGCCCGCAAAAGGCCGCGAGCGCGCGCGCGACGGCGCGGACGTCGAGCTCGAGGTGTACGAGCGTGAACTGCGTCCAGCAGTAGAAGCTCCCGAAGGCGCGCGCCGCGAGCTGCTGCTCGACGGCCTCGAGGAGCGCGCGCCGCTCCCAGGCCGCGAGGCTGCCCCGCCGCGAGCTCTCGCGCGGCGCCGCCGGCCGGGGCCGCCGGGCCTCGACGCGGCGCGAGAGCCGCCGCACGCGCCGCTCGAGCGCACCGAGCCGGTCCCGGGCCGGGGGCGGCGGCGCGTCGGGCTCGACCACGTCCCACGCGGCGACGCGCTGCGCGCAGGCGAAGAACTCGAGGTCGCAGGCGAGGTCGTCGTCGGCGTCCATCGTGCAAAGTCCCCTGTATGCGGGCTGCACTGTGTCAAAGGAGCAGCTTTTACAGCCGTGCTTGAACCGCCTTGACTTGGCCCGAGCAGGTGAGCGCTTCGCGTTGACCGACGACGCGACTCTTGTGTGACTTGGCTCGAGCAGGTGAGCGCTTCGTGCTGGCCGACGACGCTCCACCCCCATGGCCGAGCTCGCCGCGAAGCGCGCGCGCACGGACTCCTGGTGCGGCCTGCCCGAGGCCGGCGAGGAGAGCAGCGAGTGGCTCGAGAAGCACGGGATGATCCTCCGCCACGGCTCTTCCCTGGCGCTCATGAGCCTCGTCTCCACGGCGCTCAACGAGAGCGACGAGTTCGGCGACATCGAGCCCGAGGAGGACTGGAAGAAGTGGAGCGCGCGGCGGCCGGGGTTCCAGCTCTACTACGCGGCGCTCGTCGACCCCGCGCGCGACGGCGCCGAGGGCGTCGCCTGCGTGCTCCGCGCGGTCCTCGACCCGGCGCCCGCGGGCGCGGCGCCGGCGCGCAGGTCGCGCCTCATCGTCGACTACGTGACGACGCGGCCGGCCGCGCGCGGCAGGGGCCTCGCGTCCGCGGCCGTGAACTTCGTGACCGCCGCCGCTTCCTGCAACGAGGCGAACACCTACGTGCTCGCGCTCGAGGACTCCTGCGTCTACTGGATGAGCCAGGGCTTCGTCCTCGAGGCGTCCGAGCGGCTGGCGTGCCGCCTGAACATCTTCAGCGACACGCACTTGTTGCGGCGGTCGTCGGACGTTCTCGACGACGGCGAGCCGGGCGACGAGGACCTCGAGGGCGACGAGGACGACGACGACGACGACGAGGACGACGACGAGGACGAGGAGCTCCAGCGGGTCCTCGCTTTGTCCGCCGCCGCGCCGGCGCCCGCGGTGTCCGCGTCGGACCTGTCGCGCGCGCTCGCGGCGGCGATGGGCGGGCCGCCGCCGGCGGACGACGACGACGACGCGGCGCTCAAGGCCGCCCTCGCGCGGAGCCTCGCCGACTCGTAAGGTGTGATTACGACCGGTGCTTCTTCTTTTCCCGGGGCGGCTCGTCGTCGTCGTCGAAGAGCGACGTCGAGCCAAAGTTGATGTGCTCCCGGAACCAGGGCCGGCAGAAGAGGAGGTAGAGGATGGGCCGCGAGTGTTGCGACACGTTGGCGACGCCGCGGTGGACCGTGCGCTGGTCGTAGACGAGGAGGTCGCCCGGCGCCAGCTCCGGCGCGAAGACGTCGCGGGGCGCGCCGCCGCGGCGGAGCTCGGCGTCGAGCGCGCGCTCGGCCTGCGGCCGGTGCGACCCGGGCGCGAACTCCGTCGGCCCCGCGGCGCGCGTCACGTCGACGAGGGGCACGAAGCAGTTGAGCGCGTGCGCCGGGAGCTCGCCGCCGTGGCCCGGGAAGAGCTTCACGCCGTCCGCGTGCCAGGGCTGGTCGTCGGAGCCCGGGAACGACGCGACGAGCCCGACGTACGCCAAGACGACGTCGTCGCCGAGCACGCGCCGCGCCAAGGGCCAGAGCCAGCGGTCGTCGCGCCGCGCGAAGCGGGCCAGGTCCGCGGCCGCGGCGTCGAAGGCGCCGTGGCCGCAGGCGTCGAGCTTGACGTCGACGCGGCCCCGGCGGCGGCTCGCGGCCTCGAGGCACGAGAACGCGCCGCGGCGCGCGCGGTCGGCGACGAGCGCCTCGATGCGTTTGGCGTGCGCGCCGAGGCGCCGCACGTCGCCGGCGTCCGCGCGCCGCCGCACGACCACCACGCCGTCGGCCGCGAGCGACCGCGCCGCGGCGTCGAGCGCCGCGCCGGCGAGCGCCTCGCACGCGACGACGCGGTCCGCCGGCGCCGCCGACGGCTCGGCGCCCTTGGCCGCGGCAAGTTTTGCGAGCAAGGCGTCGGCCATGAGCGCCGCGGCCTCGGCCAGCGCCGCGTCGCTGCGCACGGCCTTCGCCGTGAGCTTGACGGCTTTGCGGTACAGCGCGCAGGCCTCCGCGGCGTCGCCGCGCTCCAGGAGCACGGCCGCGTCGCTCGCACGCGTGAGCGCTTCGGCCAATTGCGCTGCCATCGTGCTGAAGCGCTTGAAGGTGTTTCACTTAACACAACCGAGCAACCGCCTCATCAGGAGAGCCCATCATCTGCCCATCGATCGCTGGTTGCAGAGAACTTGCCCTGCTCTTTGCAAATTTGCCGCAGCACTTGCACAACTTGACGATGCTGCGAGCCCTAGCGGAGCGTGCGCCGCGCCCAATTCTCGCACGGCGCCGCCTGCGCCTGCTCGTCGGCAGCAGCAGTCGGCCGCACCGCGAGAAGAAGGACGGCGAGGACGCCTACTTCGCCAGCGCCGCCGACAACGCGCTCGGCGTCGCCGACGGCGTCGGGGGCTCGAAGCGCGCCGGCGTGGACCCGGGCGACTTCTCGCGGCGCCTGCTCGCCCACGCGCAGCGGCACGCCGGCGGCGGCGCCGTCGCCGCCGTCGCCGCCGCGCGCGCGGCCGCGACGCGCGACGACGTCTGCCGGCGCGGCGGCAGCTCGACGCTCCTCGTCGCGACGCTCGACGGCGACCGCCTCGAGGTCTGCAACTTCGGCGACAGCGCCTGCGCGCTCCTGCGGCCCGCGCCGCGGCGGTCGCGGGGCGCCGTCGGCCTCTGGCCGCGCGTCGTGCTGCGCACGGCGGACCAGACGCACTACTTCAACTGCCCGTATCAGGCGTCCGCCGCCGACGACCTCGCGGGCGAGGCGGCCCTCGGCGCCTGCGGCGCCGATGCCCTCGCGGCGACGGCGCGGGCCGGCGACGTCGTCGTCGCGGCGACGGACGGCTTCTGGGACAACGTTTCCGACGACGCCGCGCAGCGCGCCGTCGCGGCGCGCGTCGGCGTCGTCTGGGCGTCGGCGGCGCGCCAGGGGGGCTTCGGGAGCCTCAGCGACCGCGTCGCGGGCCTGAGCGACGACGCCGCCGCATTCGACGACTGCCGCGAGAACCTCGACGTGCTCGCGGCCGCGCTCGCGGACGCGGCCGTCGCCGTCTTCGACGACGAATCCGCCGCGACGCCCTTCACGGACGCCGCGAGGCTCGACGGCCTCGAGCACTACGGCGGCAAGGAGGACGACGTCGCCGTCGTCGTCGGCCTCGTCGTCGCCGACGGCGCGCGGCTCTCCGCGCTCGACGAGGCCCCCGTCCACAACTTCCGCGACGCCGCGCTCCCGGAGGACGGCGCGGCGGAGGAGCCCTAAGCACCGGCCGGCGCAGCGCTAACCGTGCCCTTTCGCATGCTCCCGATGAGAGCTGAACGAGGCCTTCAAGTTGCGGTCGCAGCTCAGTCGAAGCACCTCGAGCATCTCTCCACGCCGCCGCCGCCGTCGACGCGCGCGCGCGCGAGGCCGCCGACCGCCCGCGGCGCGCCGCGCCGCGGCGCGCGACGGCGCCATGGCGGCGGCGAAGGTGCACGTGCACGACGGCAGCTTCTCGAGCGACGAGTTGCTGCTCCACCCCGAGACGTTCCCGGGCATCCGCGACGGGTCCGTCGTCTTCCTCAAGACGTCGACGGCGTCGGCGAACTCGCGCGTCGTGCTGCGCGCGACCCTGGTCCGCGTCGACGAGAAGAGCCGCCTCGAGAAGTTCGCGTCGAAGCGGCTCGAGCTGTCGCTGCTGAAATCCGTCGCCGAGGCGTGCGGCGTCGCGCCGCAAAAGGGTGATTCAACGTCGCTTCAACGTGAGTGTTCCGCGCGCGCGCGTTTCGGAAACAGCACCCACGCGTCGAGGCCGCTCCGAGAGATGATCGCTCGTCCAAAAATCAGCCGAAACGAGCGGAAAACGGCCGAGAGAGGAGCCTTTGAAACTGGGCATGTCGCACCCTTTTGCTGCCCAGGTGCGGCGTCGCGCCGTGGTCCGACGCGTCCGTCGAGCTCTGCGAGGACCCGGAGGCGTCGGCGGCGGCGGACTTCTGCGAGTTCTGGTTCAAGGACCAGTTCGTGAGCCGCGCGGACATGTGGCGCTTCAAGACGGCCGTCGTCGGCCGCGCGCTCCACGTCGGCAAGGTGCTGGACATCGGCGGCATGCGCGCGGCCGCGCACGAGCTCCGGGGCTGCGACGGGTCGACGATCACGTCGGCCGTGCTCAGCGCGAACACGCGGCTCGTGTTCCGCACGCGGTCGACGCGGCTCTTCTGGCTCGTGCAGATGTCGTTCGAGATGTGGGAGCCCACGGGCGGCGGCGGCGACGCGCTGCACGTCGAGCGCCTCGTGGACGGCTTCGCGGCGCCCCTGCTGGAGCGCTGGCGCGCCGTGGGCGTGAACCACTCGCTGTCCGTCGTGCTCTTCAGGGCAGCACAAGAGAGCGAAATTCCCAACTTCAAAGGCTCATATCTCGGCCGTTTTCCACTCGTTTCGGCTGATTTTTGGACGAGCGATCATCTCTCGGAACGGTCTCGAAGCGTGGATGTTTTTTCCGTAACGCGCGCGCGCGGAACACTCACGTTGAAGCGACGTTGAATCACCCTTGTGCTGCCCAGGTGCTCTTCGCGCGCGTCGACGGCGGGCTCGGCGGCGCGCGCGACCTCTACAAGGTCGTGCTGGAGAACGAGGCGCCGGCGCACGACGACGCGCAGCGTTTGGTCGCTGCGCTGAAGCGGGAGCTCGTGGCCTTCGCGCGGTCGCTCGCGCGCGTCGTGCCGCGGAATTTGCGCGTGTGCCGCGCGGCCGACGGCAACGTCCTCGAGGCGATCAATCTCACATTAAACGTGCTCGACAAGCACTACATGGACCGCGACGTCCAGCGCACGGGCAACTCCATCGTCCTCGTGAGCGCGGGCTGCGGCGTGCTCAGCGTCGACGCGCGGCTCGCGCAGATCACGAAGCAGCGGATGATGGACAACGGCATCGGCATGGACATGCTGTCGCTGGCCGTGCCGCCGCTCCACACGGCGCCCATCTTCATGCACCGGTCGAAGAAGTCGCGGGGCCGGGCGACCTACGAGGTGCCCCACTGGATCAATCTGAGCTTCGTCGACCCCGATCGCGCGGCGGAGCCCGCCGCGTGGATCGCGGCCGCGGCGCCGCGGCGCGCGCGCGACGGCTGGCGCATGGCGACGCTGGACCTCGGCGAAACGCGCACGGGCGACGAAAACGCGCGGGGGCGGCGGCGGTCGCCGCCGGGCGACGGCGACCGCCGCGGCGACCGCGCGGACGCCGCGCGGCGCCGCCGCGTGCCCGACGCGCTCGCCTTCCTCCTGCGGTCCGGCGGCGGCGGCGCCGTCGGCGCCCTCGAGGCGCACCCCCCCGCGGAGCCGCGGGCCGACCGCGGCCGCCGGCCGCCCGCGCGGCCGCGGTCGCCCGCGTCGCCGCGCGGCGGTTTGGGGTCCGCGCTCCGCGGCAGCCTGGAGCGGTCGGGCTCCTACGACGACGCCGTCTCGACGACGCCCCAGTCGTCGCTGGCGTCGTCCGGCGGCGGCGCGCCCTGGCGGCCGTCGATCCTCGTGGGGAGCCTGAGCTCGCGCGCGGGCTCGGCCGAGCCCGCGGTCTGGTTCGACTTGGGGTCGTCGCAGGCGTCCCAGGATTTGGCGAGCCCCGACGGCCTGCCCCGGGCGCCGTCCCAGGACGAGTCGACGCTCGACGACGACGACGAGCAGCTGCCCTACTGCTACGACGCGTCGCTCCTCGGCCGGTCGTCGTCGACGTCTACGACTCTCGCGGGGTCGCCGCGCGCGTCGAGCCCGCGGTCCGCGGGGTCCCGCGTCTTCGTCGCGCCGAGCCGCCGCGGGGGCCGCGACGTCCGGGAGCCGTCCCTCGAGGACCGCTTCGACGCCTACGACGCGGCGACGTACGGCGGCGGCCCGCCCGAGCTTTTGGAGCCGCCGCCCGAGAAGCGCGAGGGGTCGCCGGAGCCCGAGCACTTCGAGCCCGCGGCGCGGTCGTCGTCGGACGCGCGGGGCCGCGCGCGGCTCCGCCACCGGTCGAACTCGGGCGCGGATTTGGCGTCCGAGGCGTACCGGTCGCCGCCGCGCGGCTCGTTCCTCCGCGACCGGCGCCACAAGCGCAGCGACTCCGTCGACGAGGAGCCCGGCGCCGCCCTCGCGTCGCCGGAGCCGCCGCGGTCGCCCGGGGCGCCCGCCGCGGCGCGGCCCCGGTCCGGGCTCCACGCGTCGCTCGAGCCCGCGCCGGAGAACGCCGCCGCGGAGTACGCGGAGGAGGAGCCGCGGCGCTTCGTCAACCCCTTCCGGAAGGAGGACGAGTCCGACCTGCTGAAGCAGCGGTCCCACAACCGGCGGCGCTGGAGCCACGTCTTCCCCATCGGCTCCGAGGAGTTCCGGTCCGCGACGACGCGGCTCCACTGCCCGGGGCCCAACTGGAAGTCGCTGATCACGCCCGCGGTGCTGCCCGTGGAGACGGACTACCTCCCGGACGAGTTCGGCACGGGCGCCTACGAGGAGGCGAACCACTCCGTGCTCCTGCCGCCGGACTCGACGACGGGCGCCGCGGAGATGGTCGCGCAGATGGTCGCGCAGCGCATCGCGGGCGACTACCAGCTCGTCGTCCAGGCCGACGAGTCGCCGGAGCGCATCTCCCGGTTGAACCCCCGACCGGGCCGGGGCGGCCGCCGGCGGCCGTCGCGCGGCGGCTTCGCGCCGCCGCGCGGCGGCGGGCCGCCGCGCGGCCGGACGCCGCCGCTCGGCGGCGCCGCGTCGACCTACACGCTGTCCATGGGCCACCGCATCCAGGTCCTCAGCTACAACGGCTTCGAGAAGCGCGTCGACGTGCGCTCCTACCGGTCGCGCCACGGCAACAACGCGGACGAGAGCAACCGCTTCGACTACGAGTACGCGCTGTGGTGCGGCGCCTGGGCAGGACAAGGGTGATTCAACGTCGCTTCAACGTGAGTGTTCCGCGCGCGCTCGTTCTGGAAAAAGCATCCGTGCTTCGAGACCGTTGCGAGAGATGATCGCTCGTCCAAAAATCAGCCGAAACGAGTGGAAAACGACCGAGATAGGAGCCTTTGAAGTTGGGAATTTCGCACTCTTGTCCTGCCCAGGTGCGGCGACGAGGGCGCGTACGCGTCCAAGACCCAGACCTTCCTCAAGTACCCGTCGCCGGAGACGAACTGGAACACGCTCGACCAGGTCATCTCCGGCTTCCTCTCGCCCGCGGCGACGCTCAGCTCCGTCAAGTTCCGGCGCGTGCTCTTCGCGCTCGTGCCGCCGGGCGACGCGGGCGGCCGCGAGTCCTACCTCGAGCGCTTCGGGCGCTTCGAGGCCTTTTTGAACTCGAAGCGGGCCGCGGGCCGGTCGCCGGCGCTCGAGGCGCGCCGCGACGCCGCGGCGGGCCGCGAGCTCGGCGGGCTGCCCGCGCGGCCCCATCTCTTGCAGATGGCGCTCGAGCACGCGACGTGGCGCGACGAGTGGCTCGCGCTCGAGTGCGACTCGTCGGTCGACGACCAGCGCTGCTACCGCCTCGCGCTCCACTGGCTCCTGTGCTCCGGCTGGGTCGTCGAGGAGTTTTTGAGCACGCTCTGCCGCAAGGCGAAGCAGCTCAAGCTGAATCTGGTGCAGGTGCCGGAGTACTCGATCCACCTCGACATCCACCCCTTCATCGCCCACGCGTCCGCCGTGCCGCCGGCGCCGGAGCCGGCCCTCGCGGCGGCGCTCGAGCGGGCCCTGCACCGGCGCCTGGATTTCGCGCGCGACTCGCCGTCGGCGCTCGTCGCGGCCGCGGCCGCGGCGCACTCGGCGACGGCGCGGAAGCAGCCCCTGCGGGGCGCGCCCGTGCCCCGGCGCGCGTCCCAGGCGGCGGCGAAGATGCTCCCGGCGCACGCGCGCGAGCGCCAGTACCTCCACCGGTCGGGCCGCGTCTTCGTCCGCGTCCTCGCCGACGGGTCCTTCGCCTGGGTCAAGAACCGCTTGGCGAACCCCTTCGCGTCGGACCAGAGGACCGTCGAGGACGGCGCCCTGCTCCGGACCCTGCGGCGCCACGCGGCCGTGCTATGCGCGCTGCTCCGGGCCTTTGGTCGATTCGGCGCGCCGCGCGACCGGTCCGGCCCGCTCGTCGACCGCGTCGCGGACTACCTCGCGGGGCCCGCGCCCGAGGCGGCGCCGCCGACGACGCGGGGCCGCCGCGCGGCGACGGACGAGGCCGCGGCGCCCGACTCGTCCGCGTCGACGCCGACGACGCTGTCCTTCGCGGACGACGCCGCGAAGAAGCGGCCGCCGAGCTTCAACCGGAGCGGCGCGGACCTCCAGGACGACGTCGGCATGTAACTTTGTGTCGTGTGGATGCGTCGAACGCGGCTCGGCGACCATCCCCGGGTACGGTTGTTTAGGACGCGCGACGCCCGCCGGCCTACTCGCCCTTGATGCACGTGACGAGCCAGTCGAAGCCCTCGGACAGGCCCTTGCCCTTGGTCGCGCAGGTCTCCTGGATGGACCACTGGCGGTTGCGCACGTCCGGCAGGCCGAGCGCCTCGGACACGTCCTTGGCGCCGAGCGCGCCGCGCTGGTCCTGCTTGTTCGCCAGCACGAGGAGGATCGCGTCCTTGAGCTCCTCCTCCTCGAGCATGGCCTGGAGCTCCTGGCGCGCGACGGCGAGGCGCTCCTTGTCCGCGGAGTCGACGACGAAGATGATCGCGTCCGTGTTCGGGTAGTAGCACCGCCAGTAGGGCCGGATGCTCGTCTGGCCGCCGAGGTCCCAGACCTGGAACTTGATGTTCTTGTACTGGAGCGTCTCGACGTTGAAGCCGATGGTCGGGATGGTCATGATCTCCTCGTCGTCGGTCTCGTTCTGGAGCTTGTAGAGGATCGTCGTCTTGCCGGCGTTGTCGAGGCCGAGGATGAGGATGCGCACCTCCTTGGACCCGAAGAGGGCCTGGAACACGCGGCTGAACAGGATGCCCATGGTGGCGCGGCCAAGGCGCCGGCGGCGGGAGGGCCGGGGCGGCGGCGCGCGGCGGTGGCGAGAGAGCTAAACACGCGGCGGCTCGACGGCGTCTATGCCCGCGATGCGAGGCTCGGCCAAAATGTTTGCGCGGCCTCGACGCTGCCCATGAGATGCATCGATCTGCGCGGCGCCGGCGGCGCGATCTGTCGGCGGCCGCAGCCCCTTGGCCGCGCGGCGCCGGAGCACGCGCCATGCGCGAGGGCGCGTCCGTGTCCGTGATCCTGGTGAACCTGGCCTGCAGCCACTGGGCGTCGAGCCTGCTCATCTTCCTCTACGCCGTGCCCGAGTCCGACGGCGTGGCGCTGTCGGGCCGCCGCGAGGAGGCGGACTTCTTCAGCATCAAGGCGGCGACGGGCATCGGGTCCGTCCAGTTCGGCATCCTCTGCGGCTTCGCGTTCTCCGGGAGCTACCTGGTCCTGGGCGGCGCCGCGAGCAGCGTCGTGCCGCAGCGGCGGAACCTGCTGATCGTCGGCTCGCTGCTGTCCTGCGCGTCGACGGTGATGACGGGCCTCGCGGGCTCCTTCTGGGAGCTCTTCTCCGCCCGGGCCGTGCTGGGCCTGGGCGAGTGGTTCGTGAACAACGCGTCCCACGGCCTCTTGTCGGACAAGTGCGGCGGCGACCACCGGTCCGAGGCGAACGGCATCTACGTGCTCGGCTGTGTGGAAACCAAATCTTCAACCCGACTTCAATGTGAGCGTACGCGACAATTTCGACGCAAGCTCTTCGGCTGTGCTTCGAGAACTCGACGGGAGCGATCGATCCGTCCAAAAATCAGCCGAATCGACTTCAATTTGACCGAGCTAGAGAATTCTCAAGTTTGGTCAGGACCTCCCAAACCAGTGGTTGGTTTCCACACAGGTGCTCGGCGTCTACCTGGGCACGGGCGTCGCGTCCATGTCCCTGGCCATGGCGTCCCTCGTGGGCTGGCGGTCCGTGTGCCACATCGTCGCGCTCTGCCGTTTGATTCCCGCGTTGGTGACGCTCTGCGCGGTCACGGAGCGCGCGCACGCGGCGCCGCCGGTGCCCAACGGGTCCTACCAGGCCAAGTACCCGCGGACGGAGCGGCCCGTGGACCCCGGCGACGTCTACCAGGACGAGCGCACGGGCCGCTGCGCGCTCGTGGGCACCGTATTGAGGTCGAAGCTCCTCATCTTTCTCATCGCCGCGTCGTCCGTGCGGTCCATGGGCACGGCGGCCATGCTCGCGTTCCTGCCCCAGTTCTACGCCGTCTGCTTCCCCGAGTCGCTGACGACCTTCTCCCTCGTCAACGCCGCGGCCGTCGCCGTCGGCGGCACGGTGTCGTCGTCGACGGGGCTGCGCATCGTCGACTACTGGGTGCGCCAGGGCAACGGGCGCGCGCGCGTCTACGTGCCCGCCGTCGGGGCGCTGCTGTCCCTGCCCTTCGCCGTCGTCGTGCTCTTCTACGACGACGCGCTCGCGTCGATGGCCGCGCTCGTCGCGATGGTCCTCTTCGCGGAGTGCTGGCTGTCGCCGGCCATCTCCGTGCTCCAGCTGTCGCTGCCGCCGCGGCTCCGGGGCTACTCCATCGCCATCATCATGGCGACGACGACGTGCATGAACGCGACGGTGCTCTTCCTCTTCGGGAAGCTCGACGAGCGGATGGCGTCGTCCGACTACGCGACGGACATCGCGATGCGCTTCGAGCTCATCCTCGCCGTCTTCGCGACGCACGGCATGTCGGCGCTGCTCTTCTACGCCGCGAGCCGCTGCGTCCACTCGACGCAGTCCGACGAGTCGCCCGTGCTCTTCTACGAGAAGCAGGCCTTCGACGCGCTCGAGTCGTTCCCCTTCGTGCCCAACGCCAAGGGCGAGGGCGCGGACACCATCGCCGCCTTCCACCAGCGTGCGGAGCAGGAGGGGCAGTTCTACTAAGGGGCGAGCCAGGGACGTCGCGATCGCAAGCCGGCGGACTCATTGCCTTCATGTTCACCGCAATCACTGAGCCAAGCACTGCCGGTTGATCGAGCCCTTCGAACGAGCACGATGCTGCCCACCCTTGGCTCGCCCGCCTGCCCGCCCGCGGCGACGCCGGAGACCGACGCGGAGGAAGACGAGGACGACGACGGCGGCGCGCCGCTGCGGGAGCGCGGGCGGTCCCTCGAGGCGCTCCCCCCCGCGGCGACGGCGGACCGGTCCTGGGAAGCGACGGGCGTGTACGACGGCGACGGCCCGGCGCCGCCGACGACGCCCAAGGCCGTGCGGCTCTGGGTCGAGCGGCACGTCGCCGACCCGGCGGACCCCGCGGCCGCCGAGGGCGACTTCGGCGGCTGCCGCGCCGTCGCGGCCGTCGAGGGCTGGCCCCCGGGCCGCGTCGAGCGCGAGGACGCGCTGCCCGGCCGCGCCGTCGCGCTCGTCTTTCGCGAGGCGCTCGTCGCCGCGGGCCACTGGACGAGCCCGGACGTCGACTTGGGCGCGCTCCGCGCCGCGTGCCGCCTCGCGGCGCGCGACGGCGCGGTGAGGCTCGCCGTCGAGTCGCACCTCCGCGCCGCGCGCGTCGACCGCGCGGCCGTCGTCCTCCGGGGCGCCGCGCGGGGCCTGCGCGCCGGCGTCGCCCGGTGCCTCGCCGCCGCGCGGCGGCCGAGGAACGGCGCGACGACGACGGTGCCCGCGGACGCGTGGTACGCGCTCCTCGAAGCCGCCAACGACCTCCGCGGGCTCGCCGCGCGCGTCCTCGACGACGAGGCGCTCGCGCTGTCGCTCCACCCCCACTTCGTCGAGTACGCCGTCGCCGAGCTCGTCGGGCCCGACTTCGCGTCGGAGATCAAGGCGCTCGCGGGCGCCGACTGCCGCGTTCCGGACTCGTGGCTCGACCGGCTGCCCGGGGGAGTCCTCGACGGCGACGCGGTGCTGCGCCTCGCGGCCCGGGCGCGCGACGACGGCGCGCTCGCCTTCGCCCGGGCGCTGGAGCGCGGCGCGGCCCGCGCCTGCGAGCGCGTCGCGTCGCCGCGGACCTTCGCCGCGCCAGCGGCGCGCTGGTGGGACTCCCGCGGGGCCTGGTGGGACGCGGACGACGCGAACGTCCGCGCGACGCCGCTGCGCTACGGCCGCGACGACGAGGAGGACCCCTTCGCGCCGGCCTTCGACTGCGACGTTGTCTTCTGCGAGGCCGCGTGCCTGTGCGGGAAAAAGCCCCGGAAATTGCACCGCTGCGCGCGGTGCCGGGTCGTCAAGTTCTGCTCCGCGGCGTGCCAGAAGAAGTTCTGGAACAAGCACAAGCCCCGCTGCCTCCACTACGGCGCCCTCCGGTCCTCGCCGCGGCGCCCGGACTGGTTCGACCTCCTCGCGAGCGGGTTCCTGAACCTCGCCGCCGCGAAACCGCTGATCGCCGCGCGCGAGGCCGCGACGCTCGACGCCCTGGCGAGGGACGGCAACCTCGCCGTGGAGATCGCGGCGAACCTCGCGCCCTGGCCGCGCGAGCGCTGCCGCCGCGGCAAGGGCCAGGCCCTCGAGCTCGGGCTCCGCTATTACGATTTCAAGGAGCGACGCCCCGCGGCGGCGCCGCTCCTGGCCTACGCGCTCGTCGACGCGGAGGCGCCGGCGGCGGACGTCGACGAGGACCGCGGCGCGGCGGCGCGGGGCAGCGACCTCGCGGCGCGCCGCGCCGAGGACGAGATCGACCGGCTCAGGGGCCGGCTCCACCTCCGGGGCTTCCGCGTCGCGGGCGTCGCGCGGGAGCGCGGCTTCGCGCCCAACGCCGACGCCGCGCCCATCACCGCGGCCTTCCGCGCGGGCGACGGGCTCGTGTAACGTGAGGAGGCGGGAGGGGGTTGTGCGCGATGCACTTCGCGATGCTCGACGGTGGTTGAGGTTATTAAGTTTGAGGTTCATGATGAGCGGCAACCAGAAGAACGCGATGGTTCGTAATGCGTATGAAGCCATACTGGTGAACAGAGCGCCTGAACGCTATGGCTACGCCGTCGAGGACCCCGCGCGCACATATGGTTGGTGAACGCGGCGACGCGATCGCGCTGCCGTACGCGCACATGGCCGAGAACACGCACGCGAACAACACCGTTACGAGCACCCTCGATTCCCTGCCGCGGGAGCTGCAGGAGGTCGCGCTGGACTACGCCGACGTCTACGACCTCGGCGGCGCCGCCGTCGCCTGCCGGGACCTGCGCGAGGTCGTCGAGGACGTGCTCCCGCACCGCGCGCGCGAGTCGCGCGCGCGGCGCGGCGTCGCCGCCGGGACGTCGCACACGGTCGTCGTCGCGCACGACGGCACGCTCCGGGCCTGCGGCACGGACCCGACGCGGCGCGGCTTCCTGGGCCAGGGCCCCGTCTTCCGCGTGCACCGGCCCGCGCGCGTGCCCGCGGGGGGCCTGCGGTTCATCTCCGTGGCGACGCACTCGTTCCACACGCTCGCGCTGACGGCGTCGGGCGAGGTCTACAGCTTCGGCCACGGCGGCTGCGGCCAGCTCGGCCACGGCGACCAGGAGTCGTCGGCGACGCCGCGGCGCGTCGACGCGCTCGCGGGCGCTTTTGTGGTGGCGGTGTCCTGCGGGCAGCAGCACTCGCTCGCTTTGACGGACCGCGGCGCGCCCTACGCCTTCGGGTCGGGCTTCGGGGGGAAGACGGGTTTGGGCGACCAGCGGTCCCGGTCGCTGCCGCGGCGCGTCGCGGGCATCCCGGAGCCGGTCGCGGTGCTGACCGCGGGCGCGCACCACTCCCTCGCGGCGACGACGTCGGGCGCGGTCTACGCCTTCGGGTCCAACGTCCACCTCCAGCTGGGCCTGCCCGAGCGCGGCGACGCGTACGCGCCGCGGCGCGTCGACGCGCTCGACGGCCGCGTCGTGCAGCTCTCCGGCGGCGAGCACCACTCCCTGGCCGTCGACGCGGCCGGCGCGTGCTACTCCTGGGGCGCCGGCGAGGGGCGGGAAAGAACCTCCGTCATGGTCGGCGGGTTCCTGGGCCACCGGTCGCTCGACGACGCCGCGCGGCCGCGGCGCGTCGAGGGCCTCGCGGGCGTCCGGGCCGTCGACTGCGCGGCCGGCGCGCTCCACTCGCTCGTGCTGAGCGCCGCCGGCGACGTCTACAGCTTCGGCCACGGCGGCGGCGGCCGCCTCGGCCACGGCGACTCCGCGATGCGCTGGGTGCCCGAGCGCGTCGCCGCGCTCGCGGGCGTCGCCGCCATCGCCGCGGGCGACGCGCACAGCGCCTGCGCGCTCCGCGACGGCGCGGTCTTCACCTGGGGCTGCGGCCGCGCGCTCGGCCTCCCGGCGGACGCCATGACCCTCGTCGACCTGCCGGTTTCCTGGGCGAGCGCGGGCAACCACGAGTGGGCGCCGGGCGACGAGGACCGGCGCTGGGTCGCCGACGCGCCGACGCCGCTCCGCCTCGAGCCGTAAGAGGTCGCTGTTGATGAGTGCGCTTGAAGCCAGTGTCGCACACGATGGGTCTGCCGGACTCCGCTGCGGTCCCGATACTGCAGCTTTGCTTCCTTAGGCTTAGCGGTGCGTCCTAGAGGTAGGACGCGATGACGGTCTTGATGTCGCGCGGGGCCGATTTGAATTCCGGGACGTAGTCGCGAAGCAGCGCGGCGACGACCAGCGCGGCCTTGCGCTTGGCGGGGACGCCCGCATCGTGCACGATGAACTGGTAGCCGACGGTCACGCGGCCGCGCCGCGCGAGCTGGACGAGCGCCTCGAAGCGGACGGCCGCCGCGATCGCGACCGCGTTGGCGTCGTTGTTGTGGGCGAGGCGGCTCAGCGCGCGCTCGACCCAATATCTAGCGTTCGCGCTCCCATCGCGCAGGAGCTTGACGAGCGGCGGGATGCCGCCGGCCTCGGCGATCAAGAGCTTGCCGGCGGCATGGCGCGCGAGGTTGCGCAGCGCCCACGCAGCCTCGTCTTTGGCCTTCTTGCTCCGAGCCCGCAGGAGCGCGACGAGCGGTGGGATGCCGCCGGCCTCGGCGATCAGGACCTCGCAAGCGTCGTTGCACGCGAGGTCGCCCAGCGTTCGTGCGGCCGCCGCCTTGGCCTTCGCGCCCCCGTCCCGCAGGAGCTCGACGAGCGGCGGGATGGCGCCGGCCTCGGCGATGGTGATTAGTGGCGTTGGCCTCAACCAGCTGACGGCGCGACCCGCGAGGTCGCGCAGCGCCCGCGCCGCCGCCGCCTTCGCCGCGCCGTCGCCCTCGCGCAAGGCGCGGACCAGCCCCTCGATCTCCGCCATGCTTGACCCCTTTGCCCAAAACGCCGACGTTTCCCACTCCTTGCACAATCACACGATGCGCATGGCGGCAGCCCTCTGGCTGCCCCTGGCCGTCGCATCCAACTGCTCGCTCGCCGACGGCCCATCGCTGCGGCTGGCGTCGCGCATCGCGGCGGCGACGGCGGGCTGCGACGTCGTCGCGTACACGACGCTCGTCTACCCCGCCGGCGTGCGGTTCCCGCACCCGTCGACGCGGCTCGGGCCGGGCGCCGCCAACGGCACGGCGGGCGTGTGCTACGTGCTCGTCGCCGGCGCGGCGTCCGCGGCGTCGCTCCGCGAGCACTGCGACGTGGCGCCGTGGCGCGTCGTCGCGCTCGACGCGGACGCGGCCGGCCGCGGCGACCGCCGCGCGAGCCGCCGCGTGAAGCTGCTGCCGCTCGAGTTCTTCGCGAACGCGCGCTACCTCCTCTTCGTCGACTGGAAACTCGTGCTGAAGCAGCACCCGCTGGACCTCGTGCGGTCCGCGCTGGGCGGCGGTTTCGGCTTCGCGGCGTTCCGCCACCCGTGCACGGCGGCCTACACGCGGCCCCGCGTGAGCCCCTGCAGCGCCCGGCGGCCCGGCGAGGCCTGGTGGCGCACGGAGGCGCGCCTCGTCGAGGCGAAGACGGCCGACGTCGCCGCGCTGCGCGCGCAGGTCGCGCGCTACGAAACCGCCGGCGGCCTCGGCTACTACGCCGACGGCGCGGTGCTCCTCTGGGACGCGCACCACCCCGTCGCCGCGACGCTCTCCTGCGCCTGGTGGGCCGAGTACGACCGCGACGACTCCAGCGACCGCGACCAGCTCGCGTTCGCGCGCGCCGTCACGGCGGTCCTCCCGCCGCCGGCGTCCGAGGGCGCCCTCTTCGCGGCGTCGACGAAGGCCGAGGGCGTCTTCCTCATCAGCGAGGGCGGCGGCGCGACCTGCGGCGACCTCTGCCACCAGTACGAGCGCGGCTCGCGGACCGTCGCGTCCGCGGGGGCCCGCGTCGCGCCGCCGGGCGCGCCGCGCGCGGCGGCGTGCGCGCGATGACATAACTCTTAGCCGTCTGCTTGGTCGAGGGCGACGAAGGTGCGGACGGGCTCTTCGCCCGGCCGCTTCGGCTTCGGGTACTCGAGGTCCGCGAAGAACGCGTCGAGGACGTCGTCGAGGCCGCCGGCGAAGCCCGGCGCGGGGCCGCGGACCTTGTAGTCCGCGACGCGGCACAGGAACTCGAGGAAGTCCGTCTTGGACAGGTAGCGGTGCTTCGACGACCCCATGCGGTCCTTGACCGTCATCTGGCTGAACACAAAGGCCATGTTGCAGTGGCGCAGGGAGAAGCCGTCGTCCTCGAAGAGGTCGAGCGCCTGGGCAGGACAAGAGAGCGAAATTCCCAACTTCAAAGGCTCCTATCTCGGCCGTTTTCCACTCGTTTCGGCTGATTTTTGGACGAGCGATCATCTCTCGGAACGGTCTCGAAGCGTGGATGCTTTTTCCAGAACGGGAGCGCGCGGAACACTCACGTTGAAGCGACGTTGAATCACCCTTGTCCTGCCCTGTCGAGCGCCTCGACGAGGCGCCGCGCGTCGTCGAAGTCGACGACGGGCGCGGCGCCCATGTCGAGGACGACCTTGGCGTAGGCGTCGAACATCGTGTCCACCGTCGCCTCGTGGCGCCGGAGCGCGTTCTCCACCTCCTCGCCGTAGAGCCTCGTCCGCCGGTAGTCGTCGCCGAGGCCGAGGTACTCCTGGGGCCCGTCGCGCGCGCGCGGCAA